CTCTCTCTCTCTCTCTCTCTCTCTCTCTCTCTCTCTCTCTCTCTCTCTCTCTCTCTCTCTCTCTCTCTCTCTCTGTCGCGCGCGCGCACGCGTGCGTGCACACATGCCATGGTTTCCTCTCGCATGATTGGACTCATCTTCTTCACCACGCCCAGACTATCGACTCCGACAAAGCTAAAAGGAGGGAGCACAGTTCTCTAAGACCAGAATTTCTCGCCACCTTTGTTTCCTGGAGATATCCAGGAGCCAAAGGCGTAGAGAAGAGACCAAAACCATCGGACTCCGGGACATACCCAGCAACCAAAAATGAGATGACTCTTTCCCTCTCTCTTCTGTCAATTTACGGTGTACACTACATCGAAGAAAAGACTGAACCATTCAATATAGCTCCGAGTCTTCAGAAAAAGCAAGTGACATAAAGCTTCACTGATTTTGACATAAAGTCAAATTAATTCATTCATTTGTTCCTGCACATTCACTCATCAGTTCCTTCCTTCTTTGCTTCCCTTCCCTCCCTTTCTTTCCTTCCTTCCTTCCCTACATCACTCCTTCCCTCCCTTTCTTCGCTTTCTCCCCTTCCCTCCACAAAGGCAAATTAGTTCATACATTTGTTCCTGCGCATTCATTCATTTCCTTCCTTCCTTATTTCCCTCCCTCCCTTCGCTCCCTTCCCTCCCTTTATTTCCTTCCGTCCTTCCTTTCCTCCACTCCTTCCCTCCCTTTCTTCTTTTTCTCCCCTTCCCTCCCATCCTTCCTTCCTCTCTCTTCTGTCAAATTACGGTGCACAGTAAAGAGACGAAAAGACTGAACCATTCAATGTAGTTCCAAGTATTGAGACAAAGCAGGTAACCGACAGCTGCACTGACTTTAATGTAAAGGCAAATTAGTTCATTCATTTGTCACCGCACATTCATTCGTCCGTTTCCTTCTTTCCTTCCCTTTCCTCCCTTTCTTTCCTTCCTTCCCTCCCTCCCTTTCTTCCCTCCTTCCCTCCCTCCGTCCCTCCCTTCCTTCCTTAATATGTTCCTCCAGCCCCCTCCCTCCCTCCCCTCCCTCCCTTCTTCCTTTTTTTCCTTCCTTGCTTCCTCCCTTAATTCCTTCCTCCACCCCCTCACCCCCGCGCTCCCTTCCCTTCCTATCTCCCCCTCCCCTTCACTTTCACTCCTTCCTCCCTTTCTTTCCTTCCTTCCCTCCCTTTCTTCCCTTTCTCCCCTTCCCTTCCTCCCCTCCCACCCCTCCCACACCTATCTCCCTCCCTTCCCTTCCCTTCCTTCCTCACTCTCCATCCCCCTCCATCCCTCCCTTCCAACCTTCCTCTCCCCCCCAACCTCCCTTCCCTTCCCTCCTTTCCCTCCCTTCCTCCCTCTCCCCCCTTCCTCTCTTACTTCATTCTTGTGCCTGAATCATGGCCCAGCGATCGATACAGCCATGTATGTTGGTAACAATGGCATTAGCTGCAATTCAATGACAGCCATCAGGCCAGCAAGGGCTGAGAATATCTTACTGATGTCATAGCTTCAAGAAATGAAGGCAAACGAAGAAAAGGAAAGAACAGAAGGAAAATGAACAAGCAACACAATCCTTCATCCCTCATGCCTCCTCCAAGGATGAAATTGTCAACAAATTCAACTTGCCTTATCCACCGAGTTCTTGATCACTGCAACCTGCGTGTCATTCTGATCCGCTGAGTAGACAGCCACAATCCGCCGTCCAGTGGGATGCCACGAAATATCTTCTGGCCAGTGTTGTTTTTCGGACATCGCAGGTAAATATCCCTTACCTGTGATCTCTTTCCTGTAAGGTCGATGTAGCAATAAGAGTGATCACAAGAATTTCCACAAATGATCCAGTCAGAACCAATTCACACCATCGGCAAGCAACTAAAGCAATATATGTCCGATTGTTTGAGAGAGCACATGCAATTGTTTTGGTATCTGATAATTGGTTCAAATTGCTCGAACAACCTTCTGCTAATCGGTTCAAGTTGATCGAATAACCTAAGTTGTTCCCCTGCCCGGGCCACGCAGCAAAGGGGGAACACCCCCCGAGAACAATGAGCAGGTAGAAAAAAAGGAAAGACTCCAAAGAAAAAGTGCGACTTCAGCCAGAATTCCACATGCCCTGAGCAGTCCACCTGGACGGATCCAGATTCGCCCCTGGTAGACAGGTTCTCCACAACGTCATGACTATATCTCAAGTGATACATAAGATCAATACTTCCTCCTCTTCCTTTTCTCCCAGTTTGTGAAACATATTTGTGATGACACAGATGAGACATGAGAGTGGAGGGAAGGATAGAGGGAAGAATAGGTTTGAAGTACTTCCATGAAGGTTCATGACAATATAGCTTTCAAAGTTGCTGTTTGAGACATTCCGGCTCTGCTTATTGTGCGAAGCATAAGGGCCCTTCGTCTGACTGGAAATGCCCAGGACCCGCACTAACCGAAGGCAGGCCTGCAGTATTTCGACGCGGCCTACTTTGAGGCCGATATGATCATAGAGGGGGCCATGGGTTGGCCTCGATGCCATCACTGTTAGGAATGGCGAGCCCCTACCCGACATCGACAACCTCTTGGATAGAGTGCAGGGATGTAGATACTTCGTAGTGGTGGGCGCCACAAGATCTCTTCAGAGCAAGGATGTAGATACCTGAGCAAGATAGATTTAAAGTTCGGGTATCATTAGATACAAATTGGGTCAGCGGATCAAACACAAAACCGCTTTCCAGGCTAGGTTAGGTCTGTACAAGTTTGTTGTGATGACCCTTTGGGCGATGCGTTCCAGCACGCCGTGAACAAGATCTTTCATGACTATCTAGACAAGTTCACCGTCGTGTACCTGGACGATATGTGCTAGGTCTTCTCCGGAAGCACAAGTACAAGATCAATCTGGGCAATGCGTATTTAAACCGCCAATAGCTTTTCTGGCCCTTTTTTTCCACTTCTGAGCATGCCGGAGGGTGCCCCCACAGGGTCGGCACAGCTTCCGGTTGGACACGGGAAGAGCGAGGTCTGCCACCGTTTTTTTGTTTTTTGGTGTCTGTAGAGTCGCGGAAAAAAGGAAGAAGAGAAGAAATACGCGCAATCCGAGAGAGAAAATAAAATAAAATACGGGCAGTGGATACGATTTTCTGTGAATCACCGCTGCTCACAATGTTCCCACCATTGCCACTGACAGCTGGCTCTCAAACTGTGCCGCAGGGCCTCGCTCAACTAGTCCCGACATGCAGAAGAGACAAAATATATGGCAATGTATCTTTCCATGTTCTAGCAGAGGATTCAGTCTCATTTTGCACAATTCGAGAGTAGTGGAGCGAGGTCCGTCGTGACGGTACCGGTCTGGCTCCGCTAACCCAATGCATAAAGCCATAATGAATCTTCCGTCAGGCTCTCTCGAGTGCTCACCACATGCCCAAAGACAAAAAAATATGGCAGTCTCTTTCCCATGTTCGAGGGGAAGATTCATTCTCATTTTGTACATTGGGTGAGTAGTGGAGGGAGGTCTAGGGTGAGCAGCGTTACATTTTTCTTTGTTCCATGTGTCAGCCTGTCCTCCACGTTTTGTTTTGTTTCTTTCTCTTTATTTTCTTCTTTTGTGGTTTGGCCACACTCGCTTTTCAGGCGCGTTTCATTGGACTAGTTTTGTCTGCTGCCAATGGGAGCGCATGTGTCAGCCTGTCCTGCACATTTTGTTTCGTTTCTTTCTCTTTATTTTCTTCTTTTGTGGTTTTGCCACACTCGCTTTTCAGGCGCGTTTCATTGGACTAGTGTTGTCTGCTGCCAATGGGAGCGCCCACCCTCCCCTCATCTTGAGCTTTTCTTCCCCCCCCCCCCCTTATGGCAACGGGAGCCCTTTTTCTTCGGCCTGCTATACCACAGCCTCGGGAACTGGTCGCAGATACGTTAGGCAAGGGCAGCTGAAAGGTACTGGCAATTTAGTGGCACCAGAATCTTGTACTTGGGTCATGAGATTTCCACGGACGATTCAAGGCCCGAAGATCCGAAGGTGGCCGCCATTAGGGACTGTGTCATGACCGCAGTCCGTGACTGAGGTCTGATCGTTCTTGGGGATGCCGGGCTACTGTCGCCCATTTGTAAAAACCTGTAGCATGATCGCAAGCCCCTTGACCAATCTAACACGCCTTGACACCCCTTGGGAATGGACAGCCGACAGCGAGTGTGCTTTCCATAGGTTGAAGTGCACCCTACCTCATCACGAAGTCCTGAAAATCCCAGATCCTGACAAGCCATTTGTTGTGACAACTGATGCTAGCCAGTACGGTATAGGTGCAGTTCTTCAGCAGCAGGATGGGAAGACGTTGAGGGGCCCGTTGAGTACGTGAGCGAAAAGATGTCATCCGAAAAGTTAAACAAGTCCACCTATAAAGGGGCATTGTACACCCTGTACAAAGCTCTGACCCACTGGAAGCACCATCTCCATGGCAGACTCTTCCAAGTGAGATCTGACTACGAGACTATCCAATGGATCAACACACAGCCCGCTCTTTCTGACGCGATGAAGCGATGGATTCAAGTCGTTGACATGTACGACTTCCACCTTCAGCGTGTCAAGGGCGAGTTTAACAAGGTTGATGACTGCACTTTCACGGGCAGCGGACTATCTAGGTGCGGTAATTATGGAATATGGCTTATCTTTGATGTGACTTTATGACTGGTGGAAGCCTACAAGGCAGATAGATTCATGTCTGAGATCATTTGCAGACTCAAGGCACAGGATAAGGCTACGTCTGGCGAGTTTGCTATGGTCAATGGACTTCTTTTTCCTTGAGAAGGACAAGAATAAAGATTATTACGGAATATGGCTTATCTTTGATGTAACTTTATGATTTGTGTACAAGGAAGATAGATTCATGTCTGAGATCATTTACAGACTCAAGGCACAGGATGATAAGGCTACGTCTGGCGAGTTTGCTATATCATCAATGGACTTCTTTTCCTTGAGAAGGTCAATAATAAAAGATTATATGTCCAAGCCTTTTGCCTATTCCTGCTGAACCAGGAGAGAGTCTGTCCATGGACTTCACGGATACTCTCGTGATCAGCAAGTCTAGCAAGAGGCACACACTTGTAATTGTGAACGGGTTCTCCAACCACGCAAGGTTAGTCCCAGTGCCCGAAACCGCGAAGACGGACCTAGTAACCAAGATGTTTATGGAACATCTGGTGAGGGATTTTGGGCTACCGAAGTCTAAGTAGCGACAAAGATGTCAGATTCACTAGCGAACTATGGAAGAAGACTGCTGAACAGATGGGTTCCCGCTTGCAAATGACTTCTGGAACCCATATGGAAACTAACGGGCAAGCAGAAACAGATGAACCGGGTAGTACAGCACCTGCTGAAGCACTACATCAAACCCAGCCAAGAAGACCGGGATGAGAAGTCACCTCTCATTGCTAGTTTATACAACAACACAGTACACAGTACTACACGCCAGTCAGTTGCACTTAGGTTGGAAGCCCAGGACCCTGTTAGACTTCCTCTTACCCGATGCTAGACCAACTGCAGCACCAGGGAGCATAGAATTCGGTATAGAATATGATAAAACGCTGCAGCAGACAGGGGAACAGATTCAGAAGTCTCAGAATGCCATGATTGCATCTGAGAACAAACATAGAAGATCATCTCAGTTTCGGGCTGGGGAAAGGGTATGGGTGAAGTTTCTTAGTTTACACTGGACGTCAACATCTCTCGCAAGCTGATGCCTTGGTATTTTGGGCCATGGCATGTCATGGACATTGTGGGTCCTGACCCCAATGGCCCATCATACGTAATTCAGGTACCACCACACCTTTGTACTTGCCAGTTTTTCACGCCTCCAAACTCCTTCCTTTCACAGAAATGGACGAGTTTCCTGCAAGGAGATCCATGCTGACCCCAACCATGGAGGGATACGTCGACATCGATCAGATCATGGAGCATAGGAATTTGCCTGTACCTAAGCCTGCTGGCAGAGGACGACCACAAAAACTACAGAGGCAGTTCCGGATCGCTTTCAGGCATCATACCGATGCCAAAGAAGATGGGTGGTTCACCGGAGAGGATCTGACGAAGACAGCACCTCAAGTTGTACCTAGCTGCCAGAAAATGTTGACAGGGAGAAACAGTGGGTGATGGACTGAGAGTTGCTCAGAGGACTATCAAAACAGAGGGGGAGGGAGTGCGAAGCATAAGGGCCCTCGGCCTGACTGGAAATGGTCCACCCGCACTAAGCGAAGGCGGGCCTGCAGAAATCCAACGCAGCTTACGTTGAGGCCGATATGATCAGAGAGGGGCCCATGGATTGGTTGCTGCATGCAGCATTTTCAACCAACTGGTAGCTCGGTCAGTCGAAGATGTTAGGGCCCAGCAGGATGATGAGGAAGGGCCCTAGACGCAGCTACTAGGACAGAAGGCTGCCCAGCCAGGGCCTGCCCTCCCCAGTCAAACAGGACAAAGCAAGCGAGGCTCACTCACTTGCCACATTCCGGCTACGACGGCAGCGCTGCTGGAGCACTGGCTTCCTGGAGGAGCGTCAGGCCAGGAGGAAGAAGGGTGCTGGCGAGGCGCAAGGAAGAGGCTGCGTGGGTGCAGCATGAGGGCGCAGTGGTCATAGCCGGGCGGCTGGTTCCCATAGGCAGAGGAGGTTGAGTGGAGGTCCTTGGGCAGACGGACTGTGGCCAGGGGAGAGGGCGATGAGATGAGGCGCTTACCTGGTGATGAGGAGGAGCAGGCCGCTTCACACGGAGTCTTCATTCGTCATTGGGCTGCTGAACTTCATGCATGACCTGTTGCAGATAGAAGTCTAGGTTGATAGAAGTTATCTGACAGTCATGTGGGCGCCGAGAGCCAAGTAGGGAGAGTGACATTGTTGACATTAATGTTGGAGGCGAGACGAGGGCTCTCATTATTGTTAGACTTCAGTGCTCTTTGCACTTACTCATGTGGTGTTATCTCGTGGTGCAATCTGCCTTTAGTTCGGACTAAGTTATCTGGATTCGTATGGAATGCCACAATTTGGTTTATTCAGCTTTATTGTCATTCGCATTGCATGTTATATCACAGAAATGAAAGCTGCAAAAACTTGCAATCGGAGGATGAAAAGAGAGAGTACCCAGAGTTGCAAAAAGAAGGCTTGAGCTTTGTCTTTTTCTTTTTCCTATAAAAAATTGGAATTCAGCAACTAATGAATAAGAGGAAAATTCATACATACGTAAGTAAAGTGAGAATAAAAAAAAAAATTGCATCTTGGCCTGAAGTATTTCAGGGTTTATTCATCTGATCCCATCCGATACGAGCTCGTCTGTATATCAACAGTTCATGGGTGTACCAGTCCACCGCATCAGCTGAGTGCCACACAACAGAGCTTAGCATACACCCATCAGACAATCTAGAGCACATGCAGGCCAGGCAAATTCCGAAAACTCTCGTGTTTTTTTTTTTTTTTTTTTTTTTTTTTTTTT